GCCACTGCAGCCTCGACCTGCTGTGTTCAGGTGATCCTTCCACCTCAGCCTTCCAAGTAGCTGGGACTACAGGTGTGTGCCACCATGCCCAGCTAATTTTTGTTTTATTGTAGAAATGAGGTCCTGCCAAATTGCTCAGGCTGGTCTTGAACCTCTAGGCTCTTGCCTCCGTCTCCCAAAGTGCTGGGATTACAAGTGTGAGCCACCACACTTAGCAAAATGTAGTTTAAAAATCTCCAAATGCTTCCTAAAACTCACCTATGGGGAATTTATCTATCTATGTCTAACTTGTGCTAGCTACTCTGCCTCAGATTTTTCTTTTTTCTTTTTCTTTTGTGCAACTTCTAGACCAACTTTCTTAGTGTTTACCAAAGTGACTTACATAAATATCTTATAGGTATAAGAGTCTATTTTGAGTTGATGATAACTTAACTTCCCTTGCATGTAAAAACTCTTGGTTTAAGCTGGGCTCGGTGGCTCAGCCTGTAATCCCGCACCTTTGGGAGGCTGAGGTGAGTGAATTGCCTGAGCCCGCGGGTTCGAGACCCGCCTGGGCAGCGAGACCTCATCTCTACAATAAATCAAAATATCAGCCGGGCGTGGTGGCGCATGCCTGTAATTCCGGCTACTCAGAAGGTGAGGCGGAAGGATCGCCGGAGCCCAGCAGGCCGAGGCTGCGGTGGCCGGGAGCGGCTACTGCACTCCAGTCTGGGCGACAGAGTGAGTCTCCAACTCAAAAAAAAAAAAAACTCTTGGTTTTACCTCTCCTTCCTCCACATTATATGAGATTGATATCACAGTTTAAATCTATTTATATTGTATTATATATTTATTAAAATAATTTAATTGTATTTGTTTTTAATAGTTTTGTCTCTCAAATTTTATGATGGAATTAAAAGCTATTTACCCACCATTATTATAGTAGCAGAATTGTCTTTGTGTATATGTTTAACTTTGCCAATGAATTTTGTACTTTTTAATTTTTTTGCTACACTGTAGTGTCCCTTTGTTTCATTTTAAAAATTGTTTTATTTTTATTTTTTTTGAGTTGGAATCTCACTCTGTTGCCCAGGCTGGAGGAGTGCAGTGTCACACTCATGGCCACTGCAGCCTATACCTGCCGGGCTCACACGGGCCTTCCACCCAGCTTTCCAAGAGCTGGAAATGCAGGTATGCGCCACCACACCCAGCGATTTTTTGATTTACTATAGAGACGAGGTCTCACCGTGTTACCCAGTCTGGTCTCGTTTTTGTTTTACCTTGAGGAAATCTCTTTAGTATTTTTTGTAAAGTGGGTCTACTGGTGACAAACTTCCTCAGTGTTTGCCTGAGAAAGTCTTTATCTCGCCTTTATTTTTGAAGGACAGGTTTGCAAGGTATAGTATTCTTGTCTGACAGTTTTTTCTTTTTTCCTTGAGTACCTTTACTAATTCATCACACAACTTTTGACCTGCAAGATTTTGTTGAAAAATCTGCTTGTATTCTTATGGAGATTCCCTTGTATGTAACAAGTTGCTTTTCTCTTACTGCTTTTAGAATTCTCTGCTTGTTTTTAACTTTTGACAATTGATTATAATGTATCTTAGTGTCGGTCTCCTTAGCTTAATATTGGCTTCTTTTGGGCTTCTTGGATCTGGATTTCTGTTTCCTTCTCTAGTTTTTTTTTTAATTGGAGTCTCACTCCATCACCCAGGCTGGAGTGCAGTGGCACGCTCATGGCCACCCCAGCCCCGACCTGCTGGACTCTAGCAATCCTCCCACCTCCGCCTTCCAAGTTGCCAGAACTACAGGTGCACACTACCGTGTCTGGCTAATTTTTTTTATTATTATTATAGAGACGAGGTCTCACCAAGTTGCCTGGGCTAGTCTCGAACCCACGGGCTCAGGCAATTCACTCGCCTCGGCCTCCCAAAGTACTGGGATTACAGGCTGAGCCACCGAGCCTGGCTCCTTCTCTAGTTTTCAGTCATTACAGTCATGCACTGCTTACAAATAGAGACATAGTCTCTCTCTGTCGCCCCCTCTCTTTTGTGGAGATGAGGTCTTGCTATGTTGCCCTGGCTGATCTTGAACTTCTGGGCAACATAGTGAGGCCTGGCCTCCCAAAGTACTAGGATTATAGGCATGAGCCACTGTGCCTGGCCAGGAAACCCTATTCTTAAACCTTTTCTGTGAGTTTTCAGATTTCTTCACTAGAGAAGGGTTTAAAATATACTACACTCTTTGGCTGGGCATGGTGGCTCAGCCTGTGAGCCCAGCACGTTGGGAGGCCAAGGCAAGAGGATTGCCTGAGCCCGGAGGTTCGAGACTAGCCTGGGAAACTTGAGCTCTTGTTTCTTCAATAAATCACAAAAATTAGCTAGATGTGGTGGCGTGCATCTGTAGTTCCAGCTACTTGGAAGGTTAAGGCAGAAGGATTGCCTGAGTCCAGCATATCAAGGCTGCAGTGGCCGTGAGCATACCACTGTACTCCAACCTGGGCAACAGAGTGAGACTCCAACTCAAAAATATATATATAATACTACATGCTTCTAAGAGACCTTTAACAGTTTTACAAGGACAAATAACTAATTGCAATCTATCATGGGCTCAAATCTTTAGAAACAGACTTACTTCTCAATAAACTAGCATTTGAAAATACCACAAAAAACCTTGTGTCCCCATTCCAAGTAGAAATCCTCTCCTCTCCTCCCACCCCATAGTAGAACAGTGAAAAGCTAGGCATGAGAGAGAGAGAGAGAGAGAGAGAGAGAGAGAGAAAGAGAGAGAGAGAGAGAAGTGGAGTCTTCTGGTTGCTGTTAGGAATGAAACTGGCCAGCCTCGGTGGCTCAGTCTGTAATCCCAGCACTTTGAGAGACTGAGACAAGTGGACTGCCTGAGCCTGTGGCTTCAAGATTAGCCTGGGCAACTTGGAGAGACCTCGTCTCTACAATAAATAAAAAATTAGCCAGGCGTGGTAGCGTATGCTTGTAGTTCCAGCTACTTGAAAGGCTGAGGTGGAAGGATCACCTGAGCCAAGCTGGTCAACTCTGGGGTGGCTGTGAGCATGCCACTGCACTCCAGCCTGGGTGACAGAGTGAGACTCCAGCTCAACAACAACAACAAAAAAGAATGAAGCTGACTTGCCTTCTTCAAGAGATTCCATAGGTGACTCCAAGAAGGAAGAGGAGCAAAAGGGGCAACAACAGAGTTTGAGAAGAGAGAGAGAGAGATAGAGAGAGGCTGCTGGCTGCCATACTGACACACCATGTGATGAGCTATTGCTTAGCTTCTCATGCCCCAAGTTGGTCACCAAAGATGATGCCGGATGAGGTGTGGTGCAAAACTCATGGGTTCTTTGGCTCAACCCTAAAATGAATATTCGAGTGGCTAGCAAAGTTGTAAAACAAAGTTTATTAGAGAAGGAAGGGGGGGCTGGGTGTGGTGGCTCACACCCATAATCCCAGCACTTTGGTAGGTGGAGGTGAGAGGATTGCCTGAGCCCAGGGGTTCAGGACAGGCCTGGGCAACGTGGTGAAACCTCATCTCTACAATAAGTCAAAAAATTAGCTGGGCATGGTGGAGCACACCTGTAGTTCCAACTACTTGGAAGGCAGAGGCAGAAGGATCACCTGAGCCCAGCAGGTCGAGGCTGCTGTGGCTGTGAGCTTGCCAATGCACTCCAGTCTGGGTGACAGAGTGAGGGAGGTGGGGATAGACATGCCAGAGCTGGCATGGGCAAGAGAAACTGCATTTTTTGCTTTTTATGAGAGGACTTACCTTCCCAATGATTGATATGCTAAGGAGGATGGAGTCCAGATAATCATCACTCTGGAGAGACACATCTCTCCACCTCTGAGAAGTAGAAAGGTAGTTTTTTGTTGTTTTTTTTTGAGTTGGAGTTTCTCTCTGGTGGCCTCACTAATTGGGCTGTAACTTTTCTCTTTGGCCAGTGTTTGTCCAGCACGACGCTGCTCAACTCTACCTGACAATCTGGAACCTAATTCAGAACCAAATCACCGATGTGGACTTGGTAAGAACGGAGAACTAGGGAACTCAGAAATTCAAGATGCTGTTCGCTTGACTCATTCAGCTATTGCTTATGTGATGTGTAGTGGAATAAAAGAGTTAATCCACAGAAAATTTTTATCATGGTTCCATAATATAGTTCTTGTATGAGTAGGGCAACGAGCACTAGTGGCTTCCATTTCTTCTTCTTTTTGTAAAATATTTATTTTAGGGTTGTGGGATACATGTGAGGATTTGCTACATAAGTAAGTTGCGTGCAGGAGAGGTTTGGGCTTCTAGCGAGCCCTTTCTCCCCATCCCCTGGTAGTGGACGTGGTATCCAGTGGGTGGGCATATGCCCCTTGTTGCTCTTCCCTCCCTCCTTTAGCAGTACCCGGCTTTTATTGTTCCCATCTTTGTGCTCACGTGCCCAGTGTTTAGGGCCACTTATGAGTGAGAACATGTGGTCTTCTGTTTTTTGTTTCTGTGAGAGTTCACTTAGAATGACAGCCCCCAGCTGCATCCATGTTGCTGTAAAGGCCATGATTTTGTTCTTCGTTCTGGCTGCATAATATTCCATCATGTCTATACACCGATTTCCTTTATCCGGTCCACTTCTCATGGGCATCTGGGTTGGTTCCATGTTTTTTAAATTGTGACTGCTGCTGCCATGAACATACACATGCAGGCATCTTTTCGGTATAGCGATTTATGTTCTTCTGGGTATATTCCCAGAAGTGGAATCCCTGGATCACATGGCAGCTCGATTTTTAGTTCTTTGAGAAAATGCCACACTGCTTTTCGTCAAGGTTGAACTAGCTTACAGTCTCACTAACAGTGTAGAAGCATTCTCTTTTCTCGGCAGCTTCTCCAACACCCATTGTTTTTTTTTGACATTTTTTGAGTTGGAGTCTCACTCCGTCACCTAGGCTGGAGTGCAGTGGCACACTCACGGCCAACACAGCCTCAACCTGCTGGGCTCAGGTGATCCTTCTACCTCAGCCTTCCAAGTAGGTGGAACTACAGGCGTGTGCCACCATGCCCGGCTAATTTTTTGATTTACTGTGGAGACAAGGGCTTGCCAAGTTGTCCAGGCTGGTCTCGAACCCCTGGACTGAGGCAATCCTCTTGCCTCAGCCTCCCAAAGTGCTGGGATTACAGGCTCGAGCCACCATGCCCGGCCCATTTTTTGACCTTTTTCTTTTCTTTTTTTTTTTTTTTTTGAGTAGGAGTCTCACTCCATCGCCCAGGCTGGAATGCAGTGGCACGCTCACAGTCACCCCAGCGTCAAACTGCTGGGCTCCGGCCATCCTTCTGCCTCAGCCTTCCAAGAGGTTTTGTTTTGTTTTTTTTTTACTTTTTAATGATAGCAACTACCATGTCTGGGGCTTCTGTCTGTTGGCTCCAACCTCTGAAAGTTGGCCTGCCCTGGTTCATGATTTTGTACCCATCATGCCGCTCTGCCCCTTCCTCTCGCAGGTGGAGAGGCTGCAGGTTCTGTATACAATCCAGATGAAAGAGTCCCTGATCTGCCTCGATTGTTCCCTGGAGAGAAGCAAAAACAGTACCATGCTCACCCTCCCCCTGTCTCTTTTCGATGTGGACTCCAAGCCCCTGAAAACACTGGTGAGGGATTTCTCTTGATGAATTTGCTGTGCCCATGTATCAGCCCACTTTCTGTTGTTGTAACAGAATCTCCCTGAAACTGGGTAGATTATAAAGAAAAGTAATTTATTTATAACAGTTCTGGAGGCTGAGAAGTCCAAGGTAAAAGGGCTACATCTAGTGAGAGCCTTCTTCTTTTTTTTTGAATCAGGGTCCCACTCTGTGGCCCAGGCTGTAGTGTAGTGGCACAATCACGGCTCACCACAACCTCGACCTGCTGGGCTCAGGGGATTCTTCTGCCTCAACCTCCCAAGAGAGCTTTCTTGCTGGTAGAGACACTCTACAGAGTCCCAAGGTGGCACGGTACCACATGGCAAGGTGAAAGGAGGCTGAGTAAGCTAACTGCTAGCTCCGGTCTCCCTCTTCTAATAAAGCCATCAGTTTCACTTTCATGGTAGCCTATTAATCCATTAATCCGATAATCCTTGAGAGGATTAATCCGTTCAAAAGGGCAGAGCCCTTTTATTTTATTTTATTCTTTTTTTGAGTCGGAGTCTCACTCTGTCGCCCAGACTGGAGTGCAGTGGCACGCTCCCGGCCACCGCAGCCTCGACCTGCTGGGCTCCGGCGATCCTTCAGCCTCAGCCTTCCGAGTAGCCAGAACTACAGGTGCACATTACCGTGCCTGGTTAATTTTTTTTATTTATTGTAGAGACAAGGTCTTGCCAAGTTGCCTGAGCAGGTCTGGAACCCTCGGGCTCAGGCAATCCACTCGCCTTGGCCTCCCAAAGTGCTGGGATTACAGGCTGAGCCACCAAGCCCGGCCAGGACAGAGCCCTTTTAAAGCCCCCACCTCTCTCTACTGCCACATTGGGGATTAAATTTCAGCATGAATTTTGGGAAGTGCAAAGATTCAACCCATACACCATACAACCCAATGTTTCAAGTTCCCCTTGCTTCTTTATTATCTGCCTTTGACTTTTTTTTTTGAGTCAAGGTCTCACTCTGTCACCCAGTCTGGAGTGTGGTAGCATAATCACAACTCACTGCAGCCTGGATCTCTTGGACTCAGGCAATCCTTCTCAGTCTCCTGGGTAACTGAAACTACAGGTGTGTGCCACCACGCCTGACTCATTTTTTATTTTTTGTAGAGATGAGGTCTTGCTAGATTGCCCAGGCTTGTCTTGAACTCTTTGGCTTAAGCAGTCCTCCTGCCTCGGACTCCCAAAGTACTGGGATTACAGTTGTGAGCCACCATGTCCTGCGGCCTTTGGCATTTTTTTCCCTTGAGTCAGAGTCTCACTCTGTTGCCCAGAATGGAGTGCAGTCGCACGCTCATGGCCACCACAGCCTCCACCCGCTGGGCTCAGGTGATCCTTCCACCTCAGCCTTCCAAGGTGCGTGCCACTGGAACCACAGGTGCGTGCCACCACACCCAGCTAATTTTTTTGATTTATTGTAGAAATGAGGTCTTGCCATGCTGCCCAGGCTGATCTCGAACCCCTGGACTCAGGCAATCCTCTTGCCTCCTCCTCCCAAAGTACTGGGATGACAGGCACGAGCCACCTTGCCTGGTGCCTTTGGCTTTTAAAAGTCACTTTTTATTTCATTAGCATGGCTCTGGTCAATTTCTCCTTGGTTCTGGCAAAAAAGATGGTTTTCTTCTACTTCCAGGTTCCTCACATGGCTCTCTTGACAGGTGTGCCACTCCTGGTTTTCACTCCAGTGAGTAGGGCTTTTTTGAGATCCTGCCATGTGAAACACACCAGGCCCGACACTGGGGGTGGGGCATGTAGAAACCCAGAAGAAAAGCTGCAAGCCCCACCTACAAGACGTGGTGAGGCTGCACTTTGGATGGGAAATAGCAACCCTGCGTTTTTCTTGTTCTCTTGGATGGGACAGGAGGAGGCCCTGTGCTGTTTTTTCCAACCCAAGGAGTTATCAAGCAAAAGCAGGTGCTTCTGTGAGAACTGTGGGAAGAAGACCCAAGGGAAACAGGTATTCACTGTATCCAAATCAGACACAGTCATTCCTCAGTGGACACGGGGGATTGGCCCCAGGACCCCTGCACATACCCAAATCGGCGCACACTCAAGTCCCCGAATTGGCCCCGCACAATCCGCATATAGAAAAAGTCTGTCCTCCCTAGATGCGGTTTCATACCCCGCAAATACCATATTTTTGATCAGCATTGGGTTGCAGGTGCAGAACCCGCAGATATGGAAGAAGGCTGGCCGTATTTATTGAAAAAAATCCGCGTCTAGTGGACGCATGCGGTGTAAACCTGTGTTGTTCTTGGCTCAATTGTTCGTCACTTGTCTGGGATCCCCTGGTGGACTTCCTGATAGAGTCTTCCGAGTCCCCCCAGGCACCTCAAGAAGGTTGAGGGAGGGAATCTGGGACAAGGGCGTTTCTGATTTCCAGAACTGTGGGCGTGGCTTCTCTGATCACATCCCTTAGAGGAACAAGAAGAGAAGCTTCTGGAGCAGTGGGCAGGGATTTTCCCCCCAGGGTTAGGCTAGCTTACTGGAACAGATCCCAGCCTCTTAGAGAGCCCTGGGCTGTCTGTGCCTTTTTGGGAGAGGGCGGTGGAGGATTAGCCAAGCCTTGCGTTGAGCCTGGAGGATCTCAACAGATTCAGCACATGGGAGCCTTTACCTCCTATAGCCTCCTGCTTCCCACCTTTGGGGAAGAGGAGCACACCACCTGCCTGCCCTGACATTTATCTGGATCTACCCATTCCAAGCGCCTTCGGACTTTTTAAATTTTTTTGAGTCTGAGTCTCAGTTGCCCAGGCTGGAGTGCAGTGGCACACTCGTGGCCATTGCAGGTAGCCTCGACCTGCTGGGCTCAGGCGATCCTTCATCCTTCCAAGTAGCTGGAACCACAGGTACGCACCACCACACCCAGCTAATTTTTTTGATTTATTGTAGAGACAAGTTTGCGCCAAAGTGCCCAGGCTGGTCTTGAACCCATGGACTCAGGCAATCCTCTCCCCTCAGCCTCCCAAAGTGTGGGGATTACCGGCTTGAGCCACCAGGCCTGGCCCGCCTTCGGGCTTTATTTCCACAGAGCTTTTTCTCTTTCAGGTCATGAAGCTGACCCACTTGCCCCAGACCTTGACAATCCACCTTATGCGATTCTCCATCAGGAATTCACAGACCAAAAAGATCTGTCACTCCCTGTATTTCCCTCAGAACTTGAATTTCAATCAGGGCCTTCCAGCTGAGCAAGCCCTCTGTGATGCCGAGGAACAGGTAAGATGCACCTGAGCTCGTGTCCATCCTGCGTATTCTCAGACACCACGCACTTCTCAGACACCACCACATGCTTTAGATGTTGCCTCCTTTCTCCCCGTCATCTGCTAGAAGTCACTCATTCATCAGAGACAGCATTTCCGGGTGTCTCCTCTGTATCATTCTCTCATCAAAGAAATCCTGTCCTCTGCTGGCCATGCTTGGGATACACAAAGCAAGGAAAACAACAGCTTGGTGTGATTCATAGAAGCATATTCATAGCTGGACGGGGCGGCTCATGCCTGTAATCCCAGCCCTTTGGGAGGCGGAGGTGAAAGGATTGCCTGAGCCTACAGGTTCGAGACCAGCCTGGTCAACTTGGTGAGACCTCGTCTCTTAAATAAATAAAAAAAACTAGCCAGGCATGGTGGTGGATGCCTGTAGTCCCAGTTACTTGGAAGGCTGAGGCGGCAGGATCACCTGAACCCAGCAGATCAAGGCTGTGGTGGCTGTGAGCATGCCACTGCACTTCAGCCTGGGTGACAGAGTGAGATTTCTACTAAAAAAAAAAAAAAAATTAGCTGGGCGTGAGGTTGCACGCCTGTATTCCCAGCTGCTTGGGAAGCTGAGGTGGAAGGATCAGCTGAACCCAGGAGGTCGAGGCTGCAGTGAGCCAGGATTGTGCCACTGTACTCCAGCCTGAGTGACAGAGTCGGACCCCAACTCAAAAAAAAAAACACCAAAAAAAAAAAGGGCAGTCCAAAAATAGATCCATATGTATATGGGAATACAAAACTTGCTATGTAGAATTTCAAGTCCATAGAGATAAGATTTCTGGGGTTTTTTTTTTTCCTCAGACTCTCCCAATAAGTTATTATCTCAGGACAACTGAATCAAACTTTTTAAATATAGTGAATATTAAAAGAAATGAAGAAAAGCAATCACAAAGAGCAAAGACTGGTGGCAATTTAATTTTTATTTGGAGTCGGAGTCTCACTCTGTCACCCAGGCTGAAGTGCAGTGGCACACTCATGGCCACGGCAGCCTCGACTTACTGGGCTCAGGTGATCCTTCTGCCTCAGTCTCCCAAGTAGCTGGAAGCACAGGCATGCACCATGATGCCCAGCTGATTTTTTGGTTTATTGTAGAGACGAGGTCTTACCATCCTACCCAGGCTGGTCTCAAATCCCTAGACTCAGGCTATCCTCTTGCCTCTGCCTCCTAAAGTGCTGGGATTACAGGTGTGAGCCACCGCATCTGGCTAAATTCTAGTTGTTGACGTGGCCTTGGAGTCTCTCTTGGGCCCTCCCAGCACCCTTCCTGCTTTCCGTTTCCCCTGCCTTCTGTTTCCCCTTGTGTTCTGCTTTGTTAGGTTGCCGAACCTCTGTAATTTCTGGAGCCACATTCAAGAATACTCCCTTCCCATGAACGTGCCTGCCAGTCATGTTTGTCCTTCAAGGTCACTTCCAGCATGCCTTCTCTGGGGAGCTTTCCCCAGGTTTCAGCACTTCCTCAGCTGTTTGTTCCTTTTCTCTTTGGGGGGAAGCCGGG